TAGAGACTCCAGGGGAAAATATGCAATTGTCTGTCCTTAGGAACTTTATTTGTAACTAGAGGCCTGGTGCATGAAATTCGTGCACAGGGGGCGGGTGTGATCCCTCAGCCTGGTCTGCACCCTCTCCAATCTAGGACCCCTTGGGGGATGTCTGACTGCCTCTCACAATCTGGGACCACTACTAACTGCCTGCCTGCCTGTCTGCCTGCCTGATTGCCCCTAACCCCTCTGTCTGTTCGCCCCTAACTGCTCCCCTGTTGGCCTGATCACCTCTAACCGCCTCTGCCTTGCCCCACACCCGGGACCCAGGATTCCCTCCTCCGGCCAGTCACAGGCATCCGGGACCCAGGCTTCCCTCCCTTTGGCTGGCCGCAGGCACCCAGGACCTGGGCTGGCTTCACCTGGGCTGGCTGCAGCTACAGGGGATTGTGGGCAGGCAGCTTTTCCCAGGCTGCAGCTGCAGGTGCTGGCGCCCAGGACCATGGGGCAGGAGGCTTGTCCCTCTCTTGGGCCGCAGGCACAGGTGCAGCTGCTGGCACCTGGGACCACAGGGCGGGTGGGTTGTCCCTCTCCCGGGCCACAGCCTGGCTGGTCCCCATTCCTCTCTCCCCAGTGTTGAGTGTCTGAGCCGTTATGGCATTACAGTGTGAGGGCATGACAACTATTTGCATATCAACTCTTTATTATATAGGATATGACCCAAACTGAACTTGTTACTGTTCCTTTAAACCTGCTCTTCCTCTTCTAATCCATTTGAGGACTGACAAGTACTTTCCCTGAGTTAGGAGAGTCCTCAATCATCCCCTCTCTGCTTATCTAGTAGTCCCATATTTTTTCTGAAGGCCTTTCATAGAAGACACAGCTTCTTGTGACAATTTTTGTATTGATTAAGAGCTCTTATTTACAAAAATAATTCATCTTGAGCTAGTTCAATCATAGTAGTAGTAACATTTAGTGGATCTAAACATGCCTGATGCATCAGAGGCACTTTATAATACCAGGGAATAAACAATTGGATGGATGGGTAATATTTTATAGATGAGTAAATTATAGAAATTTCTCCTGATTATAGAGCTAATAAATGATATAATAGGAACCTAGAATTCAGAGGTCTAATATCAAAATGCAAACATAATTTTAAATCATTTTAATCAGGAGGATCAAAGGCTATACTTCAAAAACAAATTAACCCTAACACCTTGGTGGTTTAACATAAGAAAGGTTTATTTCTCACTCATGAAGATTCCAATACTGGTTGGACAACCCTTCAAGGCAACTACTGTTGATTCTTGTTATTCTCAGTAGTTATGTTCTATAAGTAGCTGCAAACACTGAATTAACAAGTTACAATACTAAACTATTGCTCTTAAGGGTAATACAGGGTTAGGTTCCTGTGGGCCTCTGGTCACAACATTTTCACCAACCAATGGATACATAGCCTTGTTTTATGTGAGGTGTTTCTGTTTAAAGACACTTTAGCCCTAGTTGGTTTGGCTCAGTGGATAGAGCATTGGACTGCAGACTGGAAGGTCTCTGGTTCGATTCTGGTCAAGGGCACATGCTTGGGTTGCAGACTCTATCCCCAGTAGGGAGCATGTAGGAGGCAGCTGATCAATGATACTCTCTCATCATTGATGTTTCTATCTCTCTTCCCCTCTTCCTTCCTCTCTGAAATCAATAAAAATATATTTAAAAAAGACACTTTATTTAATATATGTTGTTGATTCATTAGCATTGACCTCTTTGTCAGCAGCACCGTAATTCATGCCTGAATGAAGCTTATCGACACATGTATTTTCTCCCAAAGGCACATCCCAGCCTTCCTGTGCTTATGAGCACTAGAAAGCACTCTAGCACTAAATGTGGGGCCATTTTAAACAGTGAAATCACCAACAAATAGTACAAAGATGCAGAAATTATGGCACCAAATAGACCATGAAAAGGACTCTTATTTACAGTGTGAGCAGAAGGGGGAGTACTGCCTTGTTTAACCTCAGCTGGGAATGAGCACATGGGATTCAAATTTTCAGGACTCTGCACATGTCTGTGAATAATTGTGAAAATTACACAAGTATTGATTTTTATACCACAAATTTTAGTGAGTAGGCGAATTCACAGAACTCACAAATAATGAGAATTGACTGTAAATGCTGTGATAATTTGGAACGTCAGGCTACTTGGCCTTGTGATACTGCCATCTCAACATGCAGTTTCTAGGTTACTTCAAAGGGTAGAGATGTTTGGAGGGTCATTCACTAGCTCTTAAATTCTTTGGTCACTCACTATCCATTGGCCAGAGCTAATCAGTTGGCTCCACCTAACTGCAAGAGATCTGGGAAATGTGGGGAATGCTTGGATAGCTAATGAGCAATATACAGTATATCTCAATGATAAAACCCCAACGGAAAAGGGAGAAAAACAACTGTACTTTAAACAGGGAGGTTTCTGTTTTTGTCAGAGAGTGCCCTGTGGGAGGTTTTGGGGGAGTGAGGATGTTTCAGATTTCCTATCTCCTTTAACTCCTCTTTATTAAAATCTTTATTAAAATTGCCAGATCACAGAGCATTCCAATCATGACATCAACATTATCCATTTCACGTAGGCAGGACACGTGATTACTATTTTTGTTCAGGGATCCCTGTAATTTCAGTTTGTCGGTTCTGTTTTTCTCTCTTTCCATTGATCATCCATGGGTTGGAACTTGTCTCACTCTTTGTAGAACCTTACCAAACTGCTTATATTGAATAGCCTGATAAATTTGCTCTACACCTGAAGCACTTCACCCCCAACTGGCACATAGTCTCAATCCTTAGCAGACAACAGGATTGCGTAGCCAACTACTTACTACATCATCATGTGAACCACCCAGAATTCCCCATCTTGGGTTGAGAGAGTCCTCACTGTTATGCTCTCTGCTTGACTCGGCTAGTTCCATACCTGTTTTAAAGGTTTTTCACTCAAGACACTACTTCTTGGTAACAATTTCTTTATTAATTAGGACTCTTTAGCCTCAAATAAAAGAATTCATATTGAGCTACTTTAATAATAATAGTAGTAACATTTAGTGCATGCTTATTCTGTATCAGTGCCTGGCGCATGATGGGTTGAATGAATGCCAGTCACTGTGCTAAGTACTTTAAATGCATTACTTATCACAACTCTATACGAGTATTTCTCCTTTTATAGAAAAGAACACCGTGACACTGAGAGGATCTGAAACTTCCCAAGATACACAGCTAGTCAATATTGGGTCTAGGATTTAATCTATGCCATCTTGTTGTTGTTGTTTTTGCTAGTGTATTAGCGGGGGGGAAAGGATAATCCTATATAATAAAGATGTAATATACAAATGGTCGTTACACCTTGATGCATAAGAACCGACCACCGCATAACGACCGGATCACAGATCAGCAGGAGGGTGGTGCAGCGAGCTACAAGCAGGCTGTGGAGAGCTACAGGAAGGGGTAGGGCAGCAAGCTATAAGGAGGGTGCGGGGAGGAAGGGAGGAGCTACTGGCGCATGGATTTGTGTGCAGGGCTACTAGTTTATTATAAGAGAGTTTTTCCAGAACAAGTGCAGAAATTCAGGTGGATTGCAAGATGGGCTGGAACCAGGAGCTAGAGAGCTGTTGGAAACCCAGGCAATATTCTCTGATTGTCCTCTCTACTTTTCAGACTAGACGTGGGAAAAGGAAAATATTGGTAAAGTGATGCAGGTCATTTCACTGGTCCCAACGTTTGGCTCACCTTGGAAAATCCCAGCACTGTCCTCAACTCCTTTTGTGTCCTGGACCAACTCATTCTATTTCTTTGGGCATTAATTTCCTCACTTATAAAATGAGACGTTTTTACTGGAGGATTCCTCAGGTCCCTTCCAGCTCTAAAAGTCCATGCTCCTAAGCGAACCTTCTAGAGCAGAGGTGCATTAATAATGGATTTGAAGGTGTGGGTTTGGGGAATAGAATAGAGGAGGGTTCTAAGGAAAGGGACAGAATAATGGTTTGAGAAGAGCCTCAGTGTTGAATTACTGTTTAAAGCTGGTATCAGGTAAAGACCTTTGAGGATATATAAATGGGGGACAGAAGAGACTTCTCACCCTGACACACCAGACCAGACCGGATTATTTTGAATGACAACTCTGAGCCTCTCTCTTTCTCTCTCTGTCTCCATAGGGGTTGGGGGGTAGGTAGCCCCTTGCACAGAGGTTTAATCTGGTTTATCTCTTTTCTCAGCCCATACTTTTTTTTCCCTTTTGCCCCCCAGACCTTTCTATGGGGCTTTTACTTAGGTCACAGTAAAAGCACCGAAGGGCAGCCCCAAACATCTGAATGGCTTAATGAGCAAGTCGCAAACAACTGACTGGGTCTATTTCCTTATCCATAAGATGAGAGGTTTGGTCTATGTGCTTTCTGAAGTCCGGCCCAGCTCTTAGCATTTTGTGGTTCTGGGTACTGAATCAAAAGCAGATATCCTCTTCCTGAATGCTCCATCCTCGGACCAGAACTTTGTCTTCATTCCTCTTCTCTGTTTACACCTGATTTCCAAGTTCCTTTCTCCCAGGCCCCCTTTCTTCCTCGATTCCCTCAGATCTTAGCTTTTTAAACTCCTTTTGAACCCTCTTTCTTTTCTTATATTTTTCTGCAGAGCTCCCATTTTGTACCTTGGGTCTCCAGTTCTCCATCTCTATGTATGTCTACATCCTCCTATTTGTATCCTGGCTCCTAACTGAAGCTATCCCCTAGGGTTCCTCCTAAGGCCCCCTGGGATCCCCTATCATTCGTCCCTCTCACAGAAGCACACCTTTCTCTAAAGCCAAAGGATCAGGTATTCAGTGGCTCAGGTGACAAACCTGCTGTCAAGTTACAGATATTGTTTCTTGAAAGACCACACTACAGTGTCAGCGGAGACCCAGGCTGCCTGCAGTGCCCTGCCCTTACCTGGCTATCCCACACGAGGTGAGAATAACCAGAATTCACCTCTAGTAAATGCTCACCTGGAAACATGGCTCTGAGCCCCTGGCCCCTGCTGCTCCTGCCGCTGCTGCTGTCCTGTACAGGTGAGAGAAACAGTGAGCAGTGCTGGGGGTGAAGGGGGTGGTTGCTGGAAAAAAGACTTAAGAATGCGGAGATTAACTGGTTAGTTAAAAGATAAAGACAGGGGCAAGGAAAGGGGGCAGGGACTGGAGCTAAGGGGGAAAATGAGCTAAGAAAGGAGTCCAAGTCTTCTTTCCCCAGTTCCCCATCTCCCTCACCTCATCTTTAGATCCAGGTTGGGATTGGGGTCCAGGGCAGGACTGAGTCTGGGTTCTAGGCTCTCACCCTTCAGTGACCTCCAACTTCTCTCCTCACAGTGACTCTGGCCCCTGCTGGGCCTCAGTCCCAGGACCATGGTCTCTCCTTCCTGAAGTCCTTGTTCTCCACCTTGGACCAGGCTCCCCAGAGGAACCTCAGCCGCTCGCGGTTCTCTGCATTCCTGGCCAACATTTCTTCTTCTTTTGAGCCTGGGAGAATGGGGGAGGGGCCGGTGGGAGAGCCCCCACCGCCCCAGCCCCCTGCCCTCCGGCTCCATGATTTCCTAGTGACACTGAGAGGCAGCCCGGACTGGGAGCCCATGCTAGGGCTGCTGGGGGATGTGCTGGCACTGCTGGGACAGGAGCAGACCCCCCGGGACTTCCTGGGGCACCAGGCAGGCGTCCTGGGAGGACTTGCAGAGGTGCTTTTGGGAGCTGTCGTTCCTGGGGGGCCTCCTACCCCTACCCGGCCCCCATGCACCCGCGATGGGCCCTCTGACTGTGTCCTGGTGGCTGACTGGTTGCCTTCTCTCCTGCTGTTGTTGGAGGGCACACGCTGGCAGGCCCTGGTGCAGGTGCAGCCCAGTATGGAGCCCACCAATGCCACTGGCCTTGATGGGAGAGAGCCAGGCCCCCACTTTTTACAGGGTCTGTTGAGTTTGCTCACCCCAGTGGGGGAGCTGGGCTCTGAAGAGGCTCTTTGGGGAGGTCTGCTGCGCACAGTGGGGGCCCCCCTCTATGCTGCCTTCCAGGAGGGGCTGCTCCGTGTCACTGACTCCCTGCAGGATGAGGTCTTTTCCATTCTGGGGCAGCCAGAGCCTGATGCCAATGGGCAGTGCCAGGGAGGTGAGTGCTGCTGGAGCCGGGGCTGGGCCATGGCAGGGCAAGAAGGGATGAGATTGGGGTAGTCCTCTTTCTTACTCTTATGGTAAGTAACAGGGGAGGAGTTGTGGGGACTGGGCCTGGAATTGGTCAGCTTCCAGAGCAGAGAGGAAACTCATGGGAGGAGTGTGGTTTGGTGGTTTTGGAATGTGACTGTGCAGCTCTAGGTCACATTCTCATTCTATACCTCAGTTTCCCCAATGGTAAAACGTGGGTAATATTAGCGACCGCAGAGTTGTTGCAAGGGATTAAATGAGTTGACACTGTAAGTGTAAGCCACATAGAACGGTTCCTGGCACATAGTGCTTAATACATGTCAGTTAATGAAGATGGGACATGGAAAAAAGAAAGGACAAGACCAGATTTCTCCCCCCTTTACTATTTTAGTACAGCAGTGCCAGAGCACAATTAGACATGCTCAGTTGGTGGGCAGCCTTCCTGATTGAGGCCAACCGAGGGTTGTGTATAAGCTATCTAAAAGCATGTAAAAAAAAAATCAAAAGGAGGAAGAGAGGGCCAGAAAGACAGATGGACTCCAACCGGGCCATGTTCCTAGGTGATTCTGTGTCTTAGCAAGACAGACCGCTCTCCCTTTTCCCGAATCCCAGCATTTAAACCAGGAACACCTATACTCCCAGGAACCTCACTGCAGGGCTCTGGCCACGGTCAGACTCTCCAGCTGGAGGAATGTAAACTGACCAGATCCTGCCTGCTCCTCCCTCTGCACCCAGGGGCGTCCGGCACAACCTTTCCTGGGATGCCCAGGCGCTGGGCTTTCTGTCTGGATCACCACCCCCACCCCCTGCCCTCCTCCAATGCCTGAGAACGGGTGTGCCTCTGCCCAGGGCTTCCCAGCCCTCTGCCCACACCAGCCCTCGCCAACGGCGCGCCATCTCCGTGGAAGCCCTCTGCGAGAACCACTCAGGCCCAGCACCACCCTACACCATTTCCAACTTCTCCATCCACTTGCTCTGCCAGCTCACCAGGCCTGCCACCCCGCCGCCCCCTCCCAGCATCACTGCCATCTGCCAGACAGCTGTGTGGTATGCACTTTCTTGGGCACCAGGTGCCCAAGGCTGGCTGCAGGCCTGCCATGACCAGTTTCCTGATCAGTTCCTGGAAGCAATCTGCACCAACCTCTCCTTTTCAGCCCTGTATGGCCCCCACCGCCGCCTGGTAAAGCCGCTCTGTGCTGGTCTTCTCCCACCCCCCACCAGCTGCCCTGAAGGCCTGCCCCCTGTTCCCCTCACCCCAGAGATCTTCTGGGGCTGCTTCTTGGAGAATGAGACTCTATGGGCCGAGCGGCTGTGTAGGAAGGCCAGTCTGCAGGCCGTGCCCCCCAGTAATCAGGCTTGGGTTCAGCATGTATGCCAGGGCCCTACCCCAGATGTAACTGCTTTCCCACCCTGCCACATTGGACCCTGTGGGGAACGCTGCCCAGATGGGGGTAGTTTCTTGATGATGGTATGTTTCAATGATACCATGTATGAGGCCCTGGTGCCCTATTGGCCCTGGTTAGCAGGCCAGTGCAGAATAAGTCGTGGGGGTAATGACACGTGCTTCCTAGATGGGCTACTGGGCCCTCTTCTACCCTCTCTGCCACCCCTGGGACCATCCCCACTCTGCCTGGCCCCGGGTCCCTTCCTGCTTGGCATGCTCTCCCAATTGCCACGCTGTCAGTCCTCTGTGCCGGCCCTTGCCCACCCTACACGTCTACATTATCTTCTGCGCCTGCTGACTTTCCTACTGGGTCCAGGAGCCGGAGGGACTGAAGCCCAGGGGATGCTGGGTCAGGCCCTGCTGCTCTCCAGTCTCCCAGACAACTGCTCCTTCTGGGATGCCTTCCGCCCAGAGGGCCGGCGCAGTTTGCTGAGGACAGTTGGGGAATACCTGGAACAGGAGGAACAGCCCACTTCACCAGGCTTTGAACTCTCGGATGGCTCGAGCTCTGAAATAAGCAAGATGGAGCTGCTGGCCTGTTTCAGCGTGAGTCATCTGCCAAGGGGAAAACCCCTGGAACAGCGGGGAGAGCCTCCTGGGGGATTCTCTAACACTGAGAGGCAGCAGTAAGCATGCAGCTCTGGAGCCCGACAGTCCTGGGTGCACCTCTTAGTTCTATGAGCACCTTGGACAAGTTACTGAACCTCTCTGAGCAATATTTTTCTCATCTATTTATGGGGAAGGATAATAGTGCTACTCTTTTAGGGTGGGTGTAAGGGTTACATGAAATAATGCATGCTGTGGGCTTAGCACAGTGCATGATACGGAAACAGAATAAATGTGACCTCATTTTCTTTCTGATTCTTTGACTCTCCCTCTTTCTGCTCCAGAAAGGAAAGGGATAAAGTTAGAAAGCTTCAGTTCTGTCCCTAGAGAGCGAGACTTGGAGATTGGCAATAAATAAATAAATAAATAAATAAAAAATAATAGGAAGATAAGGCAGAAATAAGAAAAATTCAGGGGAAGTGTGAATTAGAAGACTTGGGTTCTAAGTTAACTATGCCACAAATTAGTGTGGTCTTCGGCAAGTAACTTAATTTAGCTTTTGTGGGGCTTCAGTTTCTTCTCTGTAGACTGAAGGGCCTAGAATAGGTAAATGCCTAAATTCATTGAGTGCCTGTTATGTGTAAGGCACTTTGCTAGGGTCTATAGGGTATATAAAGATTTCTTACTCCATGTTAGGGCTCATTTTTCTCATCACTCGGACCATGAAGTGGGGTTAGATAGACTCTTAGTAATTTGGTTCAGATCGACAGTATTTATCGAGCCAACTATAGACCTGGCTCGGAAGAGGACATAGGAGATGTTAGAGACATGGTCCCTGACCTAAAGGAGTTGAATATCTGAGGAGACACACATACTGGCTTCAGACGAAGAACAAGCATCCTAGCAAGTGGAGTTGGACTGCCTGAGGAAGCTGCAGGAGGGACAGAGAAGACAGCTCTCTTGGCATCTTGTCTGTCTCCCCACCAGCCTGTGCTGTGGGATCTGCTCCAGAGAGAGAAGAGTGTGTGGGCCCTGCAGATTCTAGTGCAGGTAACAGTCGGAGGGGCTCTTGGGTGGACTGAGTGACAGCTGTGGCCTGAGGCCCCTGCCTAGTGAGGCCATACTCACCATGACTTCCTACTCCCAGGCATACCTGCACATGCCCCCCGAAAATCTCCAGCACCTGGTGCTTTCAGCAGAGAGGGAGGCTGCACAGGGCTTCCTGACACTCATGCACCGTTCCTGGTCCCAGCTGCAGGTGGGCATAGAGGGGCAGGGGGACAGGGTAGATGGGGAAATCTAGGAATCAAGAGCACCTGGAACCTGGTGTGCAGAGGGCTTGCTCCAGTGGAAAGAGGAACTTAGGAGAGGAGATAGCAACGATACTGAGCATTTTCAGAGCCAGCATCCATTGCTGTGCCCCCACAGGTACCACCATCTGAGGAGCAGGCCCTTGGTCGCCTGACAGCTTTGCTGCTCCAGCGGTACCCACGCCTCACCTCCCAGCTCTTCATTGATCTGTCACCACTCATCCCCTTCTTGGCTGTCTCTGACCTGATGCGTTTCCCACCATCCCTGTTGGCCAACGACAGTGTGTAAGGACCTCATGCCAGTCCTCCTGATCCTGTCAGTGTCAGGCCAACCCGACTTGCCTCGAGCAGCTCCTCCTAGAGCTCCTCTCTATTAAAACTAGGGAGTTTCCCCTCCTGTCCATGGCAGTGGACTTCAGACAACCAGGGGACAATTTGAAACAGGGCTGAGGGTTAAGACTCACTACTTTCCCCAGCCTGGCTGCCATCCGGGATTACAGCCCAGAAATGAGGCCCGAACAGAAAGAGGCTCTGGCAAGGCGACTGCTGGCCCCTGAACTGTTCGGGGAGGTGCCTGCCTGGCCCCAGGAGCTGCTGTGGGCAGTGTTGCCTCTGCTCCCCCACCTTCCTCTAGAGAACTTTCTGCAGCTCAGCCCTCACCAGGTATGAGAATCATTTTTACTTGACTAGTCCACCTTCTACTGGGTGGGACGGGAGTCAGAAACATGTCTCCTAGTGAGCAACCTCCCTGCAACTGTCCCATAGTGATCCCAACACAAGTTGACCCTCCCCATCTCAGATTCAGGCCCTGGAGGATAGCTGGCCAGCGGCAGGTCTTGGACCAGGACATGCCCGGCACGTGCTGCGTAGCCTGGTGAACCAGAGTGTCGAGGATGGAGAGGAGCAGGTGCGCAGGTGAGTGGTTGTGGGATCAGTGATCAAGGCCGGAGTGGGAGAGAGGCAGATACAGCTGTCATGACGGGTTAGAGTCCTAGGTAGGAACGGGCAAGAGAGCAGGCAGGGGCCCCAGGTAGTATAGGGCTCCAGGAGAGAGGCCTATCTATGGCACTCTCCTAGTTTTGTGGCATTTCCTAGTTTAGTGGTCAGAGTGCCTACTCCATGTGCCCACCTGGTCCCTGCCTTAGTACCAGCCTCAGTGACCACATGAAGACCAGCTTCGTGTCCTCCTCAGGCTGGGGCCCCTCGCCTGTTTCCTGACCCCTGAGGAGCTGCAGAGCCTAGTACCTTTGAATGATCCGATGGGGCCGGTAGAACGGGGGCTGCTGGAATGTGCGGCCAATGGGACCCTCAGCCCACAAGGACGGGTGAGCCCCTTGGCACAGGCCTACCAGTCTCTAGGATTTCCCTGGGTCTCTGTAGAAGACTTGCCCAGTTATCTCAACAAAGCTTGAACACAGTGGTGCCAGCCCTCCCCCCGCCCCCCCACCTCTGTCACCTCCATTCCTTATACTATTCTTATCTGTTACCACCTCCTCTTGTCTATGACCTACCACATCTGGTCTATGCCACTCCAAACATAACCTTTGACATCTTGAATCCAATCTGTTCCTGTTCCATTCTTGGTTCCAAGCCCTAGACTAGGCCCTGAGCAATCAGATGTAGGATTAGGGAGGTTTAAGGTTCACCTGTCTTTTCTCTTCAGTCCCAAACCTTCTTTGGTTCCAGGTGGCATATGAACTTATCGGGGTGTTGCGCTCATCTGGAGGAGCTGTGATGAGCCCCCGGGAGCTGCGAGTCTGGGCCCCTCTCTTCCCTCAGCTGGGCCTCCGCTTCCTGCAGGAGCTGTCCGAGCCTCAGCTTAGAGCCATGCTTCCTGCCCTGCATGGAACCAGTGTCACACCTGCCCAGGTGGGCCTATCTCACTCCCCAGCATCCACCTTCCACCCCCTGGAATGCCAGTCAAGAGAATTTCATGCAGGAATACTGTCAGCCTCCCTGAAGCCTCCTATTCCTCTGTTCCAAGGAGGACCCCCTCACCCCCATTCTCAGGTCAAGAAACAGCCAGGAGCTAGGCTGGTTACTGGGGTGGTAGAGAGAAAGCTGGAAGTTTTGGAGGGCAGATCTTGCTTAGGACCTGGCTACCAGAACCTGAGAACCGTTGTTTCTTATCTCATCCCACCTTAGGCTGTCCTGCTGCTTGGACGGCTCCTCCCTAGTCACGAAGTAAGTAGCAGCAACTTTTCAACATCCTTGAGAGGTCCCTGTGCCGCCTCTCCCTGGATCCCACACCTGCCTCTTCCTCCCTCTCAGCTCCCCTCATACCGGCTGCCTGGCTGCACTGTGATTGTTGGCTTCTCTGCCACCCTTCCCCTCTTCTTCAGGCCGCTTGTCTCTCTTGCTCCCCAGCTCTCCTTGGAGGAGCTCTGCTCCTTGCATCCTCTGCTGCCAGGCCTCAGCTCCCAGACACTGCAGGCCATCCCTAGGAGAGTTCTGGTCGGGGCCTGTTCCTGCCTGGCCCCCGAACTGTCACACCTCTCAGCCTGCCAGACCGCAGCACTGCTGCAGACCTTTCGGGTATGAGAATAGCAGGGAAGATGAGACAATCGGGGGCTGTGGGCTCTGGTTGGGAGGAGGTCATCTTCCCTGTAGCCAGGGACGGCCGCCCATACCTCCCCACTTCCTTACAAACACCCAGTAACATACACACATACTTTTCATGCAGGTGAAAGATGGAGTTACAAATACGGGTACAACAGGTGCCGGAGCGGCTGTGTGTATCCCTGGTCAGGTATGTGTGGGATCTCTGGACTGAGCTACTCTCCATGTCCCAGGGCAATTTCATATGGCTGGTGCTGCCTCACACAGTCCCCAAGCAGTGGACCTCAGAGTTCAGGTTAGCTCTGTATCCACCAAGACTTTAGCTGCTCCCCACTTCCAGATGCAGGACAGGATGACCCACACTGTCCTAGAATATCAAAGCCAGAAGGATCTGAGAAACCTTCCAGGCCAACAATCCCATTTTCTGATCAAGAGATCAAGGCTCAGAGAGGCTAAGGAACGTTAGTTCATCAGGTGCCTGAATAGCGGCAACCCTTGACCACAATCATCTTCAATGTGAGGCTCTCAGGGCTGCACTGCTACAGTGGCACATACCATTCCACTCTGATTCTAGACGTGGCCCCTTCCTGCCCCCATGGCTCCCCTTCTTCTCTGAGGGCTGAGTACAGACTCTCTCACCTATCACTACACTGCTACCCCCATCCCCACTGGCAGCCTATCCCCACCACTTGGCCAGAATGCCTGCTTCCCCTGCTTCCACTAAAGCTGCTGCAACTGGACTCTCCGGCTCTTCTGGCTAACCGAAGGTACTACCGGGAGCTGCCCTGGTCTGAGCAGCAGGTAATTCTCCCCGCTTATCCCACCACTCCTCTCTCTCAATCTGTCCACCTCCTCTACTTACCTCTCAGCCCTAGATCTGGTGCCTTATTCCTCGTATCCTGAATAATGTGACTGGTGGGGCCCACAGGGTCAGAGGTAGGACTGGGTCCAAGGCATCTTAGGTCTTTGGGCAATACCTCTGCTGGGAAGCGGTCCCTCTTTCTTTCTCTTGTAGGCCCAGTTTCTCTGGAAGAAGATGCAGGTGCCCACCAACTTGACCCTCAGGAATCTGCAGTGAGTAACTTGTGTGGAGCACTAACATTTTAAAGTGCTTTCCATGTTCCAGTCACCCTGTGACATGCAATGGGGATGAGTGATGAGTGGTCCCCACCCGTGGGCTTTCTCCTGGCCCCTCCTGTCCTTACTCCCTGCTCCTCCATTGCACCACACCCGTCCCAAGGAGATCGAAGGGATTTAGAAGACCCAGGTTCAGGTCTCTGCCCTGTTACCTATTTGTGATTTTGGGAAAGTCACTTAACCTCTCTAAGCTTCAGTTTTTTCTTCTATAGGATGGGAATGAAAATGGTACCTACCTCACAGGTAGTTGTGAAGATTAAATGAGATAAGGCATAAGGTACTTAACACAGGGCTTGGTCCAGTGTAAGCTCCCAGTAGATATTTGCTGTTATTAGTTTAATCCAAAGTGACTTCACAGCCACTGGCCACGCAGGAATAAACAGGAATAAGTAACTATCACTTACCTACACTGCAGTAGAAAACGGTGGCTTCAGGATCTGAAGACACGGCTCTAGTCTCCATTGACCACATTTCTAGTAGAATGATGTTAGGAACATCATTCGTCCTCTGTACATCTTTCTTCTCTGATGAATAGTGGTGATGCTGTGGGGAGCTAATGAGACCATGTATGGAAAACCATTTCTCAAACTCTCAATCACCATAAGCAAACACCTGTACTTGTGTTGAGAGTGTTGATATCAAGGAGCAGACAGGCTGTGGCATGTGCTGATGAACCTCTGTGCACTCACACACCCACAGGGCTCTGGGAACCCTGGCGGGGGGCATGTCCTGTGAGTTTCTGCAGCAGATCAACTCGATGGCAGACTTCCTTGAAGTGGTACACATGCTCTATCAACTGCCCACTGGGGTTCGAGGGAGCCTGGTGAGAGGGGTGTTTGGGCATTAAGTGGGAGCAGGGACCCTCAGTCTAGAAGCCAGCCCCCTGCTCAGCTCTGCCCTGCCCTGCTCCCCCCACTGTCCCACAGAGGGCCTGTGTCTGGGCGGAGGTACAGCGGAGGACGGCAATGCCAGAGCCAGAGCTGACTACCCTGGGGCCAGAGCTGAGTGGGCTAGACACCAAGCTGCTCCTGGACTCACCGTAAGTGCTACAACTGGAGATCCTGGGTCCTTAGGAAACTCAATCTGGAGCAGAAGCTCTGCCCTTAGAAAACGCCCTAGAGGTGTTGGTTTTCTGTCTGGTGGTTCCTTGAAATCAAGTAGAGCCAGAGCAGGAGATTCTATTCGCAGTTGCTCTTGAGTATCAGCTGGTTCCCAGAACATGGCCCCAGCATGGGACAGCTCAGGGTGGCAGCACTGTGATGTGGCCTGCCAAGCCATCTGAGAATAACCCAACAGAGACAGTATCTGAAAGGAGAGAAGCAGCAGTCTGATTCTATCCCAGAGGATTGTCGTCTGTTTAGGGCTTTCTGTGTTCAGAGGGGTAGGTAAAGAGAAAATCTATGAAAAATGTGATAGATGCCTTCAAATACACCAGGGGCTCCCTGGCCGGCAGGGCTCCATGGTTAGAGCATTGGCCTGTGCACCAAAAGATCTGGGGTTTGATTTCTGGTCAGAGACATGTATCTGGGTTGCAGGTTTCATCCCCAGGCCTGGTGAGAGCAACTGGTCAATGTGTCTCTCTCACATCCATATTTCTCTCTCTCTCTTCCCCATCCCTCCCTTTCACCCTCTCTAAAAATCAATGGAAAATATTCTTGGGTGAGGATTAACAAAAAAGTAAAAATAAATAAAATTTAAAAAATACCCCAGGGCTATCAAATAGAAAATATATTGACATGTTTTTGAATGGTCTCATTGGGCATGACTAGAAACAATGAATGAAAATCAAATCTTTGCACAATATAAGGAAAATTGTGATAGTGAGTTCTGAGTCATCGGAGCTATTCAAGTCTGGGTCTGGTTGACCCGTTGGCATGGATATTGTAGATTCAAGTATGGTTGGGTGAGAAAGGAAATGGGGCCTCCTCTCAACCCAGAGATTCTGACTCCAATGTCATCAGAAATGTAAGCCAAAGTAGGAAAAGTCTGGTATTGGTCTTCTTGGGGATGAAATGACGGCAAAAGCAGTTAATTTCATCCTTTCATTTTTATAGGCCTTTTCATAGATTTTTGGTTCTTGTACTACTAGGTGGCCTAGTTCCAGAACTGGCAAACCTAGATAGAATTCAGGATGCCACTTCTGATTTCTGGGCAAAAGTTTTTCTTTCTTTCTTTTAAAAATGCCATTCAAATCTGTTTAAATATGTTGGTTCTTGGAGATAATTTAGGGTCTGGATGAAGTTAATGATGCTGAACCATGACTCAGAAGATCCAAGTTCCTAGTTTGTGAAAGAGAATATGAAAAATACCTGTTGTAACCCTAGCCAGTTTGGCTTAGTGGATGAGTGTCAGCCTGCAGACCAAAGGGTCCCGGGTTCGATTCCGGTCAAGGGCACGTACCTTGGCTGCAGGCTCCTCCTTGGCCGGGCCCTGGTCAGGGCACATGCAGGAAGCGACCAATCACATTGATGTTTCTCTCTGTCTTTCCATCTCTCTTCCACTCTCTCTAAAAGATCAATGGAAAAATATCCTCAGGTAAGGATTAACCAAAAACACACACACAAAAAAGCCCCCCAAAACCTGTTTTACCCCCAGGTTTTGTCATAAGAATCAAATGAGATAGTACCTAAGAGAAGTTTGTAAATTGCATAGCGCTACACAAATAAGAGGGGACCACTTCATAGCAAGTAGAAGGGTGGCACTGGAAAACAAGAATTGGGAGTAAGACCTCACCATCTGATCTCTGTGAACCTCATTTTTAAAAAAATTATAAAATGAGGAAAGTTTTCTAAGTGGTACTTAATATTCTTGGCTTTTGATTCAATTATACAAGGTAGGATTATTTGTCTTTCTTTTTTTTTTTTTTCCAGGAAGACTAGAAATATGTCATTCCCTTTGTTCTCTCCCTTCAAGCACTATGATGGGAATTGGACCTGGGGTATTTAGTGTCAGTTCCTGTCAGGACCACAGAGTTTGATCTGATGTTACCTTCTGTCTGAGAAATGTGGCATTCTATGGTCCCATCTCAATTTGTCTCAGTTCCAATGCCCATATTATCAAATTGCTATAGGGTCCGGTTGATGGACAGACTCTCCAATGAATCCATTATGTTGGTGGTAGAGCTGGTACGAGCTGCTCCAGAGCAACTGCTGGCACTGACCCCATTCCACCGGGCAGCTCTGGCAGAGAGGGCACTACAAAACTTGGTAAGAGTCCACCCTACCAGACTCAGAACTGAGCTGGGGCAATTCTTAACCCTCAGACAATGCCCTCTGTCTTCTAGGCCAACCTCACACTTTTGCTGCCTATGATTCTCATCTTTAAGGCCCTACCTAGACCCTAGATCAGCGATTTTCAACCAGTGTGCTGCAAGAATTTTTAAAATATGCCATAGCTGACTATTTAGTCAGGATCACAGATCTCTTTTCCTTTAGATTGTCAAATAAAAATATGACAACAGCCAATATAACAATAGCCATCTGGTGTGAATGAATCAAAAGTATACCTATTTTTTTTGTCAGATTGGTAAAAAATAGAATATATTTTTTGGTGTGCCATAGAATTTTAGAATTAGTTTATGTGTGCCATGAGATTGAAAACTGTTGAAAATCGCTGCCCTAGATTTTATCTCTTGGTTTCATGTTTCTTGTCCACAGCCCTTGGAGTCCAAGAAATTCCTTGGATTTCTCCTCCCAGTCTTTCTGCCTACTCTTATCTGGGTTGATTGTTTAAGAAAATGAACATCATAGGGTCTTGGGTTAGGAGTTGGAGGGAGGAAAGGTCACGGTCTTGGTGTCTTGATCAGAGTCTGGTCCTCTGAGTCGCAGGTGCGTTGTCCTAAGGCCTAACGCCCCCTCTTCAGGCTCCAAAGGAGACAACAGTCTCAAGGGAAGTGCTGGAGACATTGGGCCCCTTGGTTGGATTCCTGGGGATCGAGAGCACACGACGGATCCCCCTACAGACCCTGCTGGCCCACCTCAGTCAGCTGCAGGGCTTCTGCCTGGGAGAGCCATTTGCCACAGAGCTGGGATGGCTGCTGACACAGGAGGCTCTTCTTGGGTATGGACGTTTGAGAACTTCAGATTCTAACCCAGCCTCTCAACCACCATCATCAGTGGCAGCCCATCAATATGTGTGAGGTCCCTTGGAGCCCTGAGTCCCCAGTCCTAGGATGTCTTCTTTTCCCCTTCCTTTTCCTCACAGTTCCTTCAACATCCCAGCCCCTGATCTTCTTCTTGCTCCCCCCTCCCCCCGCCCCAGGAAACCAGAGTTGTGGAGCCAGGATGAAGTAGAGCAAGCTGGACGTCTAGTGTTCACTCTGTCTACTGAGGCGATTTCCTTGATCCCTAGGGTGAGGTGAAGGAACAAGGGAGGGAGTAAGAACAGAGAAGGGACTGGTGAGCTGGTTCTGGGGAGTAAAGGCCAAGGAGGTTGAGGGCAGAGATTGTGAAGCCCAGATTTGGGGGAGACTGTTAAAAAGAGACAGGACTTGGGAATTAGAGCTGCAGCCGCTGGCCCTGACCTGCCCAGGTCTCTCCACCTCCCTTCTACTCTCTCACACAGGAGGCCTTGGGCCCAGAGTCCCTGGAGCGTCTCCTAGAGAAACAGCAGAGCTGGGAACGGAGCAGAGCTGGACAGCTGTGTGGGGGGCCACAGCTTGCTCCCAAGAAAGCAGCTTTGGTAGCTGGGGTTGTACGGCCCACTGCGGACTATCTCCCAGGTGAAACTCCCCAAATACTCATGCTTCTGGCAGGGTGAACAGGAAAGAGTATGCAACAATGCAATCAGAAGTCAGGGCAATCAGAAGTGCGCCTAGAACACCCCTCTCCTATTCTCTTATCCCTGTTATCAGCTTCTAGGCTTAGCTAAGTGTGGTGGAGCTCTCTGTTGGGAAAATGCTTAGGATATGGGAAGGAGCCCCTGTGGGGCTAGGGACCTGGGTTCTAATCTAGATCTGCCATTAAATCCTTAGGCAACACCCTCAATCTTCCATGTATACAATGAGGGGATTGTTCTCTCCAGTCACTTGTTCTAGTATCCTATGTGTCTTATAAATCTCTCACTATAGCAGCGGTTCTCAACCTGTGGGTTGCAACCCATTTGGGGGTCGAATGATCCTTTCACAGGGGTCCTCTAAGACCATCAGAAAACACATATATAATTACATATTGTTTTTGTGATTAATCACTATGCTTTTTAAAAATTCTTCTTCTTATTATTATTAGTGAAGGTATTACCACTATGCTTTAAATACGTTCAATTTGTAACAATGAAAATACATCCTGCACATCAGATATTTACATTACGTTTCATAACAGTAGCAAAATTACAGTTATGAAGTAGCAACGAAAATAATTTTATGGTTGGGTGTCACCACAACATGAGGAACTGTATTAAAGGGTCGTGGCATTAGGAAGGTTGAGAACCACTGCACTATAGTAATCCCTTGACCCATAGTACTCACCTTGACCAAAGTTTGGAGGGGTTATTCCATCTGTAGGTAGCTTTCTATAAAATAGTACCATATTTTAATACTACACTCACCCAGGCCCTACCTTCCTCCTTTAGAACCTGTGCCAAATTGTGCAGATGTACGGGGGACATTTCCGGCAGCTTGGTCTGCGACTCAGATTGCAGAGATGGAGCTCTCAGACTTTGAGGACTGCCTGTCACTCTTTGCAGGAGACCCAGGACTTGGGCCTGAGGAACTACGGGCAGCAATGGGCAAGGCAAAACAGGTTAAGGATGGGAGACCAGTTGGGGTTGGAGCTGAAAATCATGGGAAAGCTGGTTGGGTGTGGTGCAGGACAGAAGTGAATGGATGCTGGGGTGAGAGGTTGGGAAATAGGAGATCAAAGAATGAAAGGGTTTGGTACATATATGCAATGGAATATTACTTGGCCATAAAAAACGAATAAAATCTTGCCATTTGTGACAACATGGATGACCTAAAGGGCATTGTACTAAGTAAAATAAGTCAGACAGAGAAAGACAGATACCATAAGATTTTACTTATATGGGGAATCTGAAAAACAGAATAAATAAACTAACAAAACAAACTCATAGATACAGAGAGCAAGTTGATGGTCTCCAGGTGGGTGTGTTGTGGGGGGAGTAGGAAGACATGTGAAGAAGGTTGAAGGGATTAAGAAGTACAAATTGCCAGTTATAAAAATAGTCACAGGGATATAAAGTACAGCATAGGGAATATAGTCAATAATATTGTAATAACTGTGTATGGTGGCAGATGGACACCAGACTTAACCGGGTGGTCACTTTGTAAGTTATATAAATGTCTAATTACTATATTGTACACATGAAACTAATATAATATTGTATGTCACCTGTAATTGAAATTTTTTTTTTTAAGTTTTGCCTCTCCCTCCCCACCCCAAAAAAACACAACAAAACCTACGAGGGTTGGCTCTTAAGTAGAAAGTCAGAGGAGATGAATATTGAGGAAAGAAAGCTAATGCAATGGGTAGAGGGACTAGAGCAGTGGTTACCCAACTTTAGTGTGTGTTAAAGTCATCTGGGGAGCAGGTGTTGGAAATGCCGATGCCAGGGTCCCATGCTAGACTCACTGAGGATGGGTCTGGGCATCTGCATTTTAACAGAATCCCTGGCGAGTCTGGTGCACGTAACAGTTTAGAACTCATGGGCTGGAGTCTGCTATTTTCCTACTGAGACTCTACAATCTTCCAATAACAGCTTAGTCAGAGGAGCTTTAGTCCAACCCTTTCATTTTATAGTTGAGGAAACTAAGACCCAGAGAAGGCATGTGATTTGCCTCAACTTGCACAGCTAACGTCAGAGGCAAGACTAAGACCCAGCATTCTGACTCCTAGTCCGGTGTTTTTTCCTCTCACATTGTTCCTCTCTTTCTCTATAGTTGTGGGGTCCCCCACGGGGGTTTCGTCCTGAGCAAATCCTGCAGCTAGGTCGGCTCTTAATAGGTCTAGGAGAGCGGGAACTACAGGAGCTAACCCTGGTGGACTGGGGAGTGCTGAGCACCCTGGGGCAAATAGATGGCTGGAGCTCAGCCCAGGTAACACCTTCCTCCTTTCCCATCACCTTCCAAGCATTCATCCCACAGGCCAGGTCTCTAGGTTATTTAAAGCCCAAGAATTTTTTCCTCTGACTCTGAGTGGCCATTCTTTCTGTCTTTCCTTAAAACTCCAAACGAGTAGCGTTGGAAACTCTGTGATTTATTCTCTCTGAGGTCCTGGACACATAGAATTCCCTGCTGCTTCTTTCCCCTCTTTTTCTGGGTCCTCAACCTTACCCATGGCTGTTGGAGCTTCAGGTCTTATTTATTTATTATTTTAAAAAATCTTTATTGTTGAAATTCAGTTTATTTTGTTGGATCTTCAGGTCTTAATAATACAAGAATATAATCTAGTAGCACTTGTCACTTCCCTAATTACTTCCCCATCCACTAATTCTCCATGAATTCTCTCATCCTGTGCCCTCCACCCCGACCCCAGCTTCGAGTTGTGGTCTCCAGTTTCCTGCGGCAGAGTGGCCGGCACATGAGCCACCTGGACTTCCTTCACCTGACTGCACTGGGTTACACTCTCTGTGGACTGCGACCAGAGGAACTACAGCATATCAACAGTTGGGAATTTAGGTCACCTGTGGAGGGAGGGATGTGGGTGGTGATGTTGAGGTAAAGGTGGGCTCACTGGGGAGGGTAGGATCACGAAGAAGTGATCCCATGGAGGAAGGGACCTCACCTGAAGCCATCTCTACTCTGATCATCATAGCTGAATCTTCCTCCCTTCTCCTCCCTCTTCCACAGCCAAGCAGCTCTCTTCCTGGGCAACCTGCATTTCCAGTGCTCTGAGGACCAACTGGAGGTTCTGGCCCAACTCCTTGTGCTGCCTGGTGGTTTTGGCCCAGTCAGTAACTGGGGGCCTGAAATCTTCACTGAAATTGGTACCATAGCAGGTACGGAGGCTGGGTCGCTGCTGGTGCTTGCTGTCAGATGTTGGTTTCCATTCCATGGGTGGAGGACTGCTCTGGGATTCTCAAGGTGGGAGTCTGGGAGTTTAGGTAAGAGGTTGGTGACGTGTTGGGGAAGGTCTATGGTTGGAAGAGGTCTCTAAGTTTGAAGAGAAGGGAAGAGGCCAGTCTAAGACAACTTTTGGACGCCCATCCCACTTGCTTCAACAGCTGGGATCCCAGACCTGGCCCTTTCAGCACTGCTGCGGGAACAAATCCAGGGCCTTACCCCTCTTGCCATTTCTGTCATCCCTGCTCCTAAATTTGCTGTAAGTATTGATGGACCGGAGTGTGGAGTGACCATAAGAGAAGCAGAGCCCAACACGGGATACACTGGATATACTGACTCCTGCCTCCAACCCCAGGTGGTGTTCAGCCCCACCCAGCTATCTAGTCTCACCAGTGTGCAGGCTGTGGCTGTCACTCCCGAGCAAATGGCCTTTCTGAGTCCTGAGCAGCGACGAGCAGTTGCATGGGCCCAGCATGAGGGGATGGAAAGCCCAGAACAGCAGGGTGAGTTCTCAACTGCACAGCTTGACCCTCCCCATTTCCTAACCCAGAATCTGACCCCCAGCTAGGTGCTATCTGACTCTTAGAGCCAACCCACGGAGATCCCTGGAGTGAAGGGTATACAGACAGATAGTTTAGAGTGTCAATAGCTCCTGGGGAGCATAATTGTGACATCCCTTCCATTCTCTGTCTCATTGTAGGTCGAAGCACAGCCTGCGGCTTCCAGAACTGGTCACAACCCTCCTGGATCTTAGCATTAGCCGTCTGCTTCCTTGGCAACCTGTTATGAACCTGTCTCTACAGTGAAAGAGTGACTGTTGGGAAAGAAACCTTAAGCCACAGTGAATAAAGTGAAAATGGAATTATATTCTAATTACTTTCAGGAAGCTGATGAGGAACATGGGTACAAGGTTAATGCTTTCCACCCAGCTGAGAATCAATGTTCCTGGCATGCCGTGTCTGGATTTTCTTTCCATCACCCCATGGCCTCTCTTCCTTTCATGGAGGCTGCTCCCTCCTCACCCCATCATTAGAAAACACACAGACAGGTGGAGCATAGCAAGGTGTCTTTACTGGGACACAGGAAGTGGGGGGCATCCAGGGCAAGTAGGATAGGCCACCATTAGAATGGGCAGAAGTCCTGGGGATCTTGAGTCATCTGCTGAGAATGGGGAGTTAATGCTTGCTGTGGACGAGAGGTGAAGGGATGCGGATATCCTGGCCTCTCTCCAGACGCCGTTCACAGTCAATCAAATAGTTTACTCCATCGATGACCAGTTGCACCAGCTCCACCTAAAGGACACTGATTCTTGATCTCTGCTTCCCACAACCTGAGTTTCTTTCTTTAGCACTGATTTGCCTGCTTTGAGAACTCATTTCCAATTGCCTCCCCACTCAACCTGATTTTTATTTTAGATTCTACTAAATTCCTGAACCTCACCACTGTTATATCTCAACCCCCATAGACTTATACCTCCCCTCACCCTAATCCCTGAAGATCTCACCTCTGACTTGCCCAGTCGGTCCAAATTAGAGATGTCAAAGGTACTGCCTGTGGCAGCTGTGTCCACGCCTCCAGTTCCACGCTTTTGGAGTCTTAGGTTCTCCAGGATCTTTGGGAAGCGGCTATCCTAGAAGGGAGACAGGGATTGGGAGCAGGGTGAATAGCGACAGAGATTGGTTCTTCCTGAGAGGGCCCTGAACCTGCTCAGAGCTCTTTCCCAATGTGTCTGGTTTCTTTCCAAAGTGCCCACCCCCTCATCCTCACACAGCCACCTTCCTCACTCACAACCCTCTTGAACCCCACAACTTCTTTACTTTGCTTAGCAGTGGCAGTTTGATGTGCACTCCTGCTCGTAGTCCAGTGCCCAGGTTAGATGGACAGGTCAAGATGTATCCCAAACGCTCATTCCACATGAACTCCCAGCCATGCTCCTGGATCAGCCGTTCCACCTGAGTTCACAAAGGCTCTGTTAGTGAAAAGTCAGGAATATGTGGACACTCCCATAGCTAGACTCACAGGACTCTAGAAATATGTCTAGAACAGAAACTTGGGATGTGAAAGAATGACCCTGTCCAGGGTTTTGTTTGTTTTGCAGAAATGGTTTATTATCTTGCATGTAAGGTAAGCCCATAATGATGAGATTGCAGAAAAATACCTTGTGTGTTGAAGAAGAGAAACTTGAGGGATTAATGCGTTAAGGATGGTCCAGAGGTGAACTGAACTGAGAAAGAGTTGATTATTCAATGAGCTCTGCATGCATTGATTATCTTTGTTTTGCTAATGAGCCTAGAACTTGGGAGGATTCTTTCAGACAGAAAAGGAAAATGTAGGCTTTGCAACAGGAAGAGGCAAGAGAGCCTTCTGTTAGCAGTGGAAGAAGTACATACCAGAAAGCAAAGAAAAAGTGTAGAAAGGCCATACTTGCAGGTATGTGTGTGTGCCAGGTGGTGTTAGGGTGTTTTTGTTTCACTTAAGTATCCTAGTCATGAAGATGACTATTAGAGTTGAAGAGATGGGATCCGCCAGAGTGGTGGACATTAACACCACTACCTAACATGAGCAAAGGGGACCCTGTTTATCGTTCAGAAAGAATCATGGCATCAGGGGATATTTTACATGCTGAACATGGGGAAACCCTTCCATCTGGAACCGTGGCCGGCAAACTGCGGCTTGCGAGCCACATGCGGCTCTTTGGCCCCTTGAGTGTGGCTCTTCCTAAGCCTTAGGAGCACCCTAATTAAGTTAATAACAATGTACCTACCTATACAGTTTAAGTTTAAAAAATTTGGCTCTCAAAAGAAATTTCAATCGTTGTACTGTTGATATTTGGCTCTGTTGACTAATGAGTTTGCCGACCACTAGATTCTAGAATAACAGCAGCAGCTAAACCCTATTGAACATTACTAATGGGCCAGGTATTTTACATGCATTATCTCATTTAATCCTCACAACAACCTAAAATGTAGGAAGTCTTATTATCCCAATTTTATAGATGAGGAGACTGAGGTACATAATTTTAAAAGTACTTCCCTACCCACTTACAATCGGAATGTTATCTATTATTTGACAAAAACAGTAGAAATTTCCCAGCTAGATTATAAAAGGAAGAAGAGCTCTCTCTTTATAAGTCCAAAATAGAACTGTATATATGAGAACATACAATAAGAATTGGTTTATGGGAATTCCTAATCTAGAATTGAATATGGAAACTCAGTCCACATAGGATTGAGAATTCAGTTCAACCCTTCATGTAGAGCCACATATTCTGGAACTTCTAAGCCAGTTGATCCTCCACCTTCTCTCCCTCTCCCTCTCCCTCTTAGTTTAAAATTTAGACATGATACTTTAGTACCTCCTCTCTCCCCCTCTCCCTCTCCCTCTCCCTCTCCCTCTTCCTCTCCCTCTTAGTTTAAAATTTAGACATGATACTTTAGTAGGAATGACAGAATCCAAAGGTGAGGCCTACCTATGCTCAGAACTGAGTGGTTAGAATCATGAACACAGCAATCTCTTGTTCCATACATCAATCCAGGCTCAAACCTTTTCCTTATCTGCACATCCCACACCACACACCCCAGGCACTGACCCACGATCTATTATTTTTTCTTCAGATTATCTGATAACTGCTTTATTTTTTTATATTCCTGGCACTGTCTTCCTAGTCTTAGGGTGACCATATATCCTGGTTTCCCTTGGACAGTTTTGATTTATACCTGTTGTCCGGGAGTAATTGATGATGATCTCTTTTACTATCAAAAGTGTCCTGGGTTGGTTGATAACTTATGATAACTTATATGGTCAATCTACATGGGCTAGCATTTTGTGTTGTCTTATGCCCCCCCACCCCCCCATTTCCCTTATATGCTCTTGCCCAACCTCTTTGAGGCCTCGGCAGAATCTTTCAAACACTCTCTTCATGTTGCCACCCTTCTCCATGGAGATGACTCGTGTATGATCCTCCTCATTCACCCAGATTAAGAAGCTCTTCTCATTGTTATGCCTGAAGGCAGGAGAGAGGGAAGGACAGGGGTCAATAGACAGGGCAAGAATGGGGAGAGGTAGAGGGGCAAAAGGCACTTATGGGGATATGGTGACAAAAGAGGTAAGGTAAGCCTCATACCAAATCCCACGAGCATCTGGCCAGTGACCTGAAGGAAGGTAGAGGTCGAAGGTTACACTTTGAAGGGAACAAGCAATGAGACCAGGAGAAATCCCCGAGGAAGGTTGTCAAATAGGAAGTGGTCCTGGGGAGATAAAGGGACTTGGTTTAAGAACTCTTACAGTAGCCCCTAGGCCTCTCAGAGTCCATCTGTCCCAGCTGGCCCAGCCTGCCCTCTGACTCTTCTTTCCATCTGCTCCCCCCACCTAGTGCTTTCTCCAGGCCCCTCACATCAATAAGCTGCTGCTGTTCAGCCTCTGTCATTTCACTGAGCCGATAGTAACGACCAGCCAGGTCACCCTTCAGGCCACTTAGTGCGTCCGCCACAACACGTTCCACCTCTCGCCGCTCTGCCCGAGTGCAAGCTGGAGGCAGACTGAGTCCCCGGATACTTCGGCCAGTTCTGACTCTTGAGGACAACACATACCTCTCATCAAAGTAGCCAGAACGTATCTGTGGAATAAGAGAAATTAATATAAATCACAAACACAGTCGGTGGGGACAGAGGGCCTTGGGGAAGAACAGATTCCTGACATTCTCGTCCTAGTCTTAGGGTGACCATATCGAGGAGTCCTCATTGCATGCATTGGAAGGAGAAGCCCATTGGGCAAGCAGTCCAAGTGAAGAGGGCATTATGATCCCTCCCCCAACTGCCCACCTTGCAGAATGGTCACTCTTAAACACTCTCTTCTTCATGTCTGCTGCTTAAAACACTATCCTTTCTCCACACCAAGACGGAAAGCTCAGCAGTATAATGACCATGAGTCAAAAGATAATTAAGGATCGAAGAAACAGAATTTTGTACATAAGGCAATGCAAATCGAAAGTGGAATATTTGACCCACCTTACTGGCATCCAGGTCAGTGGTGTGCTTCATTATCCGGGGATCATATCCATTATGTCGTTCTTGGATAACAGGGTCAAACAGCTCAGCAAATACCTGAAGGAGAATTAGGAGGGAGAGGATGGTTAAGGAGGGGGCATCCTCTCCTAGGCTTTAAACGTGGATTGATTTCACTGGGTCAGAAAACATAAGTACAGATGGATCAGTTTCAAGGGTAAGTGAGGGGTTTTAATGGGGAAGGAGTTGGCATTACTGGGCAGATGAGTTGGATCACAAGGGCAACTCTGAGGGCCCCCTACCTCATAGCTTTCCTCATCTCCAGCTACCATGCCCACAGTCTTGATGAAGGGGTGGCCGGGGTTGTCCACGCCAGTCTGGATACACTGATCTAGCGTCCAACCAGTGGGTGTGGTCTTGTCGCAGAGCCGGGCATAGACTGCTGGGGTCAGGTGACTGGCCATGCAGTTGTTGTGCTTTCGGAGGTCTGGGTACTCAGCACTAGGGAGGGGGTACCCAGTAACCATGGAGGGAGAGCACAGGTGGCCTAGACCTAGTGCCCTCAGCCAGGAGCTGTCCTATTAGCTGTGTCTGGCTGTCCTCCTGGGGAGGAGGGGAGACTATAGAGAAGCTAAACCTTGGTAATCTCATTAGGGATTTCAGGGTCTATTCTTTCCCAGCAGTTCTAGCTTCCTCTGGCTGGACAGCTCAGTTCTCCCAGATCTGCTCAATTCTCCCATCCCGTGAGCACAACATTAAGAATGGGGGAGGGGAAAGAAGAAGGAGGAAATCTAGGAAATGGGGAAGAACAACAAGAAAAGGAGATGAACGAGATCAAAAAGGATAGTTCCTGATCGCTCAGTTAGGGATTTGGACAGAGATGCAACCAGAACTCACTGGACCAGGTTACAGATCCCCAGGAATGCTTTGGCCTTGTGGTTTTAGCTTCCACCCCCACCCCATCAGCACTAGGCCATGGCATGAGGATCCTGCTACCGAATGCCTGGGCAGGAGCAGGCGCAGGGCAGGAACCCAGAGAGAGGTCTCCAGACTGTACAGCAGCCCACTCTAGAGCCTTCGTGGCTATAGCCCTTCTCTGTTACCCCGTCCTCATCTCCATCCCCA